CTGAAGCTTGACTTTGCAAATTTAAAATCGCAAATCAAATCGCAATCTGTCAAAAAAAATCGCAATTTGATATTTTCCCCCAAATCCCACAGCCCTACCTCTGACTCAGAGCAGCGATCATGGAAGAGAGAGCACAGGCGGACAGTGCTGGAAGCTGCTAATGCTCATCAGTAAGTATCGAACATTTTTGAACGATACCCAGCCCTAGGTTTAACTTTTCATGTTTGTATTTTAACCTGTCTTGAGCGCCAGCCTCAACAACAACAAAAAAAAAACACAAACACTCAGGGGTCAGTAAATTTATAATATTTAGATTCACACTGTTTGAACTAAGAAAATCCAGATCCATTGACAGATCCAGATCCGGGGTCTAAAGGGATATTGAGCCAAAAATGAAAAAAGTGTTGTTGTTTACACACCCTCATGTTGTCTAATTTCTTCAATGGAACACAACAAGATTTAGACAGAACTGATTGCCTTGGTCAACATTTACTCTGAAAAAAAATTTTTTTTTTCTAAATGAATGCACAAAACAATTTGTACATCATAAACTGCAAGCATATTGAAGTCAGTTTGTGACAGTTCTCGTATACTTTCGCATGTATTTTAGTCGGATTATGCAGGCGTTGCATTAAGCACGTTAATTTAATCTCTTGTATGTATAGTGCACTAGCTCTCTAAGTGAATAGGTGCTTGCCATCTGGCTACAGAAGCTAATGTAAGGCAACAGATCTCATTTTAGTAACTTACTCCCTCGGCAGGAGAAGTGGAGGTGCGCCTCTCCTCTGGAAAACGCCGTCGACAAACACACCGTTCTTGCCAAGACAGCGCAGGTAGAAATGCGGCTCCTCAAAGGTGATTTGCAGATGTCTCCTGGAAATGAAGCTCGAGTGGCCCATGTTGACATCCACGGAGCCGTGCGACGAATTCCGCCCCACTGTGACCGTCCTCTGGCGCATGGCGAACTCGAAGTCCCTGCCTTCCAGGCGAGCGAGGGCCTGCGACGGAGATAATGTGATCCCGGGCGAAGTCGAGGAGGAGAGAGTGTACACGGGCGGGGCAGAAACAGCCACCGGGCTACAAGGCGCAGATTTGAGGGCCAGTAGAGCTCTCGCTCCGGTATCATCCCCCAAATCAGCCATTTTGTTGAAAAACACCGAGGGGATTGCAAGCGCAACGGCTATGTGTTGGTAGGGTTCGCTGTGTTGCTGTTGGCGGTGGTAGTCAAAACATGGAGATGGCGCGTGGAAAACACGTCATGGATTATTGGACCGGAGCGGAGTGCGATTTATCCCTCGTTTGCCTTTCACTCATTTTGAAACAGTTGGCGGGGAATAGTGCGATATTGTGAATATTTGTTCGTAAAGTTCGTCTCAGGTGTTTATTTTGTTCTCGATCATTTTCATAGGCCTTACTCTAAGCTCTCTGGCAAATTAAAGGTTAATATTGTTGCAGTTCCAGGAACCGGACGACACGTGCGTTACATGTGGCAATAAAAAAGTACACTTGATGTCGAATGCACGCGTGGTTGCTCGCATTGTAACTAAATACACGCGGTTTTTTGATGGGTATTATTTCTTGTTCGGTATGAAACACATTTTGAAAGGTCAAAATAAAATGACGTGGTTGGAGCAGTGACGTCACGGCGCATCGCCCATTCTGCGCTCTTTATGTTTATAAACAGAAAAAGAACAAGGCAGAGGCAAGCCCCGGATGATGGAATCCCCGGATGCTGGAGTTTCACAAGGACGCGTTCAAATGAATTAAATTGAAACTATGAGCAGTTTCAATTGCCAACACAAGGTGTCTGTCTTCACTAGTGCATCGACATTTGTTCTCTACGCATAAAATAAAACTGAGAAAAAAAAAAGCTTCGAGTTCAACTGTCTGTTGTTTACCATTAAAATGCTGAAGAATTTACGAATTTAAATCATTTAAATACAATTTCGATACAATTCAGAATGATCATTAGTTATTCATTTTAATCTATAATGTAGAAAAAACAGTCTACTTTAAATTGTAATGTCTTTTTTTCTACAGTCAAGGGGGAAAACATACATTGTGTAACTGCAGTGCTTGCAAGGCCAGCATGTCTCATATTTCTTCATCTTCTCACACTTTTCTGCATTTAATTATTTTCCAACCATTTAATGCACATTTAAACTTTGTTCTCTTGATAATATCCTTTACATCCTTTTATGAACTTTATAAAATCTCTTACTGGCTGCATAAGTGTAGCATAAGTGTAAATGTAGCCTCCAGCTGGGGTATCTATATAACTATCAGGTTATAAACTGATCTGTTAAGAATCAAGTATTCCAGAGAGCCATGTAATAAACTGATGTAATGTTTTCTTACTTAATGTTCTTTCTTAATCTTACTGTCAGTGATGACTTTGAATACTTGGCCTGCCTGGCCTTCTGGGTTATTTTACCAAAACCATTTTTTAGCTATTTATTGTCCTTTATTTAACCAGATAAAAACTTTCTGAGATTAAAAATCTCTTTTACAGAAAGAAGTGACCTGGCCAAGATGCAGCACTGCTTTATCAGAAGTAAAAAACTCAAAAACAGTATCAAAACACAATTAAAAACATTTACAAATTGATTCTTCCTTTAACAGCTCATTGATCAAAACTCTAAAAGTGTTCATTGACACCAAGTTCTTTAACAATATTCTTTTGCTGTCTTTGTCATTTTAATGTTTCTTTTATGTTTTGATTAAAATCAGGCAATGGTTTGTCTTGCAATCTCAGAAAAGGATGTAATGAAAAATAATGAAGAATTTCTAGGTCAAAATCTAAAATTCAGCCCGTTGGGAGTTGAGTCAGCAGGAAGTGTTAAGGAAAAAATGCTGCCGGATTTCCCATAAATGAAACATGTCTTGCAACAAAGGTCTTGACCTTAAAAGATTTCTAGGTACTAGGTCTGAAAAGCATTTTGGTTTACCCCAAGTTACACATTCAAATTCTCAGATGTCACAGAAAGACAAGAATATGTTTAAAGATGAAATGAGGAAAGAGGCCTTAATGTAGGATGTAATTACAGCTGGTTACACATTCAGTGCTGAGGTCAACTTTAATGATGCACCAGCAGGTATTATACAGTCCCAAACTACACATTTACTTACTCATCTAACTACTCATAATTAAATAGCCTATATATTAATTAATTTATTTGATAAAGTGGGTATACAAGCAATACCCCTTCAGGAGAATCTTATGCTCATGTCATTTTTTAAAAATAGTGTGTTAATATAAATGTTAAAAGTACCAAGAACAACATTTTATAATAAATATATGAATCGATAACTGCCAATGCTAAAAAAGCAGTTTCTTTCTCAAAATCTGTTTTATAGTGGTGGTTTTCCAGGGCATGGCAGCACAATTAAGGCTGTAAGTGGCATGAAAACAAACAATATCTTCCTGTTTAGTCTTCGTTGACAACCGTAATGCAGGACACTGGATTCAGTTTTATGGGTTTTCTGGGTACAATGAATAACAAAATGACCATTTTTCACCAAAAGTATTTCTCACATGGGCCCATTTTATGTGGTAAAATAATTCTGATGATATAATAGATCTTTTTATATAGAAAAGAACTTCACGTCTGCTTTACTGCTACATGAATATACACTGCATTCACTACAATGTACATATGCATTATTTTATTTTGATTTTATAAAACATATACTGCAAGTATAATAAATAAAATAAGTATAATTAAATGTGCACAACGTTGTGTCTTTTAAAACATATTTATTACACTTCAATAAGCATTACACACATGACACAAAATGAATGAACCAGGAAGAGCTCAAGGTCCATCATGATCTTGAGCACCATAAATCACATAATGGCACACTTCTATAAAGTGTAAAAGGTGAACATAAAACGATTGACAATATAATGAAATATTAAAAAGAGAATTATAATTGTGTAAATATTCTAATGTGTTTCAGTCTTCATGATTAAAAATGATTACAAATGTTCTATTTATTCATAATTATATTATATAACTTTTGCATTGCATTATTTTTTTTCCTTGCGAGATCTTGGCATAAACTTCACTGTGATGGGAACCTTTGGCTGAAAAGCGGCATTCATCTCTAGAGGGATCTGAGAAAAAAAAAAAAAAGAGAAAATAAACTATAATTCATTCATTCAAGACACAAAGCACAGTCTGTCTCACATAACTCATGTATATCAATTCTAATTGATGACTGTCAGTGTACCAACCTGTGTCTCTTTACATGTTTCCATACGGAAGTTCTGAAGCAGCTTCAAAACAAGAAGTTTCATGATCATTTGGGCAAATCTCATTACAATGCAATTTCGAGGCCCGAGTCCAAAAGGCAGGAAAGCGTACTGGTTCATCTCTGACTTGCATTCTGGGCAGAACCTATGGTGATATATTAGAAACAAATTCAGTTTAGCAATTCTTGCTTCAATTAAATGGTCTAAAAACAGATTTCAGTGTTTGTAGACATAAAATTAAGTTTCAATGGAGATATAAATAAATCATTGTTGTGTAACCAAATAAGGACGTTTTCATAGTCCTTGCAACTTCCATATGAGAAAAAATTATTTGGTTTAGCCAGCCACTACACAGAATACTCCATGTTTGCCTAATAGTTTCTTTGTCTGTTATTGTCGTTTAATACTCACATACACAGAAGTGTCAAGAGCAGAACCACCAGGGTCCAGGTCACAGACAGAGATGGGAGATCAATCATTGTAAGTCAGCTGTCAGCTTGTCAGTATTCTTCAGCTGAAGCCTTAATACACACTGACGCTGTTGGTTTGCATTTATTTTCACCAGACGACGCATGATCCGGAAGTAGGCGTGGTGGTGAGCATGACGACCAAATAAGGTATTAAAAGACAGGTTATTATAGTTTTATATTATTACGTGTCCAGTGAGTTATCTGCGTTAACTGCAAGCAGTAGCCAACAGAGGTGACGTAAGTCTTAAAAGTTATTAATTTGTTAAGAAACATACATAAAAAAAAAGACGACAGACACAAACAACCGAAACCAAGTTCATCCTAGAGTGTCAAATAGAGTAGCACATCGATTTTACTCACCTTAGAAAACAGTAAAGCCCCTTATATCTGCGACTTCATAAAACACACTTCCTCTGTGTTCTGTTGCACAATAACGTTAGGTACGTCCTTTCATTGCATTTTAAATGTTCATAGTGACACCCATTGGACAAAAAGTGTAACTGAGTCTTATTTTATATATAGCATTTATGATTACATGATTTTATAAGCCGCGAATGGATGCTTAATATGCTCCAGTGCCGTCTGAAAATAAATAAATAAAAATCCCATGTCAAATGTTTATGAATGCTGATCCGAGAACAAATTAAATAACTTTTTTAGTTCCATGTATTTAATTATACAAAGGTAATTAATATTGATGCTAGTTTGTATTGGTTTCAATTGCTAGGTTGTATTGGTTTCAATGTCCAGTAACATTATATTTTTATATAGCTTTTTGGGTAAACACAAAAACCACATTAGCTTACATTCAAACCAGAGAACTGAAATGTTGATTTTAGGATAATGATGTTGCTCATAGATGTCAGGTCAGTCCAAGTTATCATATCATTGTTGTGTAACCAAATAAGGACGTTTTCATAGTCCTTGCAACTTCCATATAAGAAAAAATTATTTGGTTTAGCCAGCTTAAATCTGGCACGTGGTTCTATAAACTGTATAAATCACATGCTATAAGATGATAATATGTGAGAAAAATTGTGGTTGTGAAAAAAAATTAAAGATGTCATGTCTGATAGATGAATCACATGACCTCTCTGGTCTGAACTCATCAGGAGACTCCCAGAGCTGCGGATCACGACACAATACATATGTAGGAATTCCTCTCGAAGCGTGTTGCAGCGGGAAGGAGACGCATTGATTCATTGATGGCCATTTCCAAGTAATCCATTTTCATCAATGCATGATGGGAGTCTAAACCCCCGCCCCCCAAAAAAGACATGCCCGATGCATATTATGGCTTTGTTTTAAACCAATTTCCTGTTCCTTAAGTAAAACAACTGAACCCTAAACTCTAAAACTGCCTTAAAATAGTTTATTTACATAAAAACTATGAACAGAGCAGAAACCGTTGTTCTCACATGAGGAGGGAAGTTTGTGTCAATCTCCACAACCAGTTTTTCCAGGCAGTCTGGATTAGTTGCAAGATTATAGAGGAGGTAAGTGAGAGTGGTGCTTGTCATCTCATAACCTCCAAGAATGAAAACGAGGGATTGGGAGAGAATCTCGTGATCCTTAAGTCCTATTAAAATCACAAAACCACATATTTGACAACAAGTTCCATTTGAAATGAAAGAGTCGATAATGTGTAAATTCTATCTCTCAAACCTTTTGCTGGTTGCTCACTTGTGTCCTCAAAATGATCACCAGGTTTTTGATTTTGGAGCATGAGCTTGAGAAAATCTACCCGACCCTGATTAAAAACACAGAAGCATCAAAATCATTGCCAGGTATAAATGACAGTGTGAGTGACAGTAGATGAAAAGTGAAATAGTGACAAACATACATCTGATTCCTTGTTGTGCTCATCCTTATTCACAAAACAAATAAAAAAAATTATTGAATTTTTGTTTATTTTTTCATTATTTCTGTTCATTTTCCAATATTGTTATACAAATAATAACATACGTATTAGCAGAAAGAGAGGATTGAACATATTAAACTGGATAAACTTCTTGACATTGGTAACGAAAGGATCAGCTGCGTTGTTTATGGATTCAATGTCAACGCTAAAAGAGGAGCTGGTGACCACATCCAAACTGTATGGACCCACAACTCTAAAATAAAAATAGCTTTTTCTTATTAAATATATAATATACAGTAAGTGATTATTTACATATCATTACTTTGTCATCTGCAATAATATTACACCTTTAGTAATGAATTAAATTAATGTGGTTTCCCTTTATACACAGAAACCACTAATATCATATATTGGATACGAGTGTTAAATCAAATCTTTAGTATTGAGCAGAAAACGTTCTCAACTGATGCAGCTCTCCAGTGAATTTTAAGTATGTACAGAGGGCACTACAGGTTTATGTATGTTATTGGTTGTTTCAGACGTCTGTTGAAAACCTACCGATCACATTTATTGATACGTAGTGTTGTGGGTGTTGCATTATAACAGCCCTTTGTTACAGTCATCAGTGAGACAGAATAACCATCTTTTCCTCACATGTATTAAATCCTGTAGGTATTTTGTATCTCTGGTGTTGCTACTAATAGGAATTTAAAATGAGGGAATATATCTAAAAGTCCAGAACAATGTTTTACAAGCGGTTTACAAATAATATTACAGATGAGGGGTCTGTTTGTCACACAGTAGAGTTCCCTAGCAGCTGTTTTGGAAGCTGATTTCTAATGTCTCTTGACAATCCTCATAAGGCTGCGGTTCTTTCGGTTGGTTGTGCATCTTTTTCTTCCAGACTTTTTCCTTCCACTCAACTTTCTGTTTACATGCTTGGATACAGCACTCTGTGAACAGCCAGCTTCTTTGGCAATGAATGTTTGTGGCTTACCCTCCTTGTGAAGGGTGTCAATGATTGTCTTCTGGACAACTGTCAGATCAGCAGTCTTCCCCATGATTGTGTAGCCTAGTGAACCAAACTGAGAGACCATTTTGAAGGCTCAGGAAACCTTCGCAGGTGTTTTGAGTTGATTAGCTGATTGGCATGTCACCATATTCTAATTTGTTGAGATAGTGAATTGGTGGGTTTTTGTTAAATGTGAGCCAAAATCATCACAATTAAAAGAACCAAAGACTTAAACTACTTCAGTCTGTGTGCATTGAATTTATTTAATACACGAGTTTCACAATTTGAGTTGAATTACTGAAATAAATGAACTTTTCCACGATATTCTAATTTATTGAGATGCACCTGTATTTATTACGGCTTTATTTTAAACCTATTTGCCGTTCCTTAAGTAAAGCAACTGAACACTAAACTTTAAAACTGCCTTAAAGGAATAGTTTGCCCAAAAATGAAACTTTACTGAGGCCATCCAAGATGTAGATGATTTTGTTTCTTCATCAGAACAGATTTGGATAAATTTAGCATTACATCAGTTGCTCACCAATGAGAGTCCAAACAGCTGATTAAAACATCACAATAATCCACAAGTAATTCACACGACTCCAGCCCATCAATTAACATCTTGTGAAGTGAAAAGCCATGTTATTAAGAGAAACATCCAACATTAAGGCGTTTAAACTTTAAATAATTGCTTCTGGTCAAAATACAAGGCCTGAATCCATAATAACGTTTCCTCCAGTGAAAAAGTTCATCCTCTGTTGTCCTCTCACATCAAAATCCAACCAACATATCTGTTTAGAACAGTTTTGGACTGTTTTCTCTTATAAATGGTGCTTGATCTGTGCATAACTCTTTTCTGATTCAGATGAGACACCTTTTTACCGGAGAAAACAATATTATTGTTAGAGGACTTGTATTTTAGCTGGAAGCAAGGGTTTGGTTAAAACTTGTTTATTACAAATACGCAGCTTTTCACCATTTATAAGAGAAAACAGTCAAAAACTGTTCTAATAATAACAAATGTTGGTTGGCTTTTGATGTGAGAATACAACAGGGGATGGACTTCTTCACTGGAGGAAGTCTTTTATTATGGATTCAGGCCTTGTATTTTGACCAGAAGCAATGATTTAAAGTCGAAATGCCTTAATGGTGGATGTGTTTCTTAACAATGTGGCTTTTCACTTCACAAGACATTAATTGATGGACTGGAGTTATGTGGATTACTAGTGGATTATTGTGATGTTTTAATCAGCTGTTTGGACTCTCATTCTGACGGCACCCATTCACTGCAGAGGATCCATTAGTGAGCAAGTGATGTAATGCTAAATGTCTCCAAATCTGTTCTGATGAAGAAACAAACTCATCTACAGTATATCTTTAATTGCCTGATTTTTGGGTGAACTATTCCTTTAAGATAGATTTTCTACACAAAAACTATGAACCGAGCGGAAGCCAGTTTGCTCACATCAGGAGGGAAGTTTGTGTCAATCTCCAAAACCAGCTTTTCCAGGCATTCTGGATTAGTTGCAAGATTATAGAGGAGGTAAGTGAGAGTGGTGCTTGTCGTCTCATAACCGCCGAGAATGAAAACGAAGGACTGGGAGAGAATCTCGTGGTCTGTTAGTCCTATTAAATTAATAAAAACACCAGTCACATTTGAAATGAAAGAGTCTATAATGTGTAAATTCTGTACTGTCTCTCAAACCTTTTACTGGTTGGTCACTTGTGTCTTCAAACTTTTCATCAGGTATTTGATTCTGGATCATGAGTTTGAGAAAGTCCACCCGACCCTAATTAAAAACACAAAGTCATATTCTACTGCAGTATCAACATCTCTGCAAAATCTGGAGCTGTAGCTAAAGTAAGAAATAGTGGAAAACATACATTTGATTCCTTGTTGTGCTCGTCCTTGATCTTTCTCAGGACATTGTAGAAAAAGTCCACAGACGACCTTGAAAAAATACTTATACCCATTTTCCCCAGAAGATTTGCAATGGAAGGAAATAAAGCTGAAAAAAAATAAATCCTTGTTGTGCTCGTCCTTGATCTTTCTCAGGACATTGTAGAAAAAGTCCACAGACGACCTTGAAAAAATACTTATACCCATTTTCCCCAGAAGATTTGCAACGGAAGGAAATAAAGCTGAAAAAAAAAATAAAAAATCTCAAAACAAACAAATCAAAACAAATCATTTTTTTAAATTATAAAAATGACATACCTAAAATCAGAATGAGAGGACTGAACAGACTGAACTTGAAAAACTTCTTGACATTGGTAACGAAAGGATCATCTGCATTGTTTATGGAGTCGATATCAACACTGAAGGAGGAGCTGGTGACCACATCCAAACTGTATGGAGCCACAACTCTGGAATAATAATAGTGTTTGTTTCTACTTTGATATATTATATAGTGATAATTTACATATCATGACTTTCTAACAAAGCCAATGTCATCTACAATAATCACAGACCTTCATTAATAAATTCAATTAATTTTATGTGGTTTTATACATAGAAATCGACTGCAGTAAATACTTGCAATGTTCTTTATGTTTTGTTTAAGGACAGATGTCACACATACTCTTTTACTTTAACTGGCTGCTCGTGGTCTCTCTTTTGCATATTTTTTATAAAACGATCGGCATGCGTCACAGCTATGGGAAATATCTGAAACATATTTAGAAATAAGTGTTAGTTACATAAGTGTCAAAGAACAACAAGCAGAGCATAAAATAACATAAACCTAAATATTACATAAAAGTTTTGATATAGAAGTAAAGAATACTGAGAGACTAGATGCCAATATCTGAAACAGCTCATATTAAAGGGACAGTTCACAGCTCTAAGTTTGTTTCAAATCTGTGTAACAACTTCACAATATCTTATTTTTTCATACAGAGAATAAACAAAGTCATTCATTTTGAACAACATGAGAGATGACAGAATTTTTATGTTTGGGTGTACTATCACTTTAAGGGCCTTTACTGTACCTCCTTCAGTCGACCACTTGTGAAATATGGAGAGAGTGAACTGCGGATTCTCTTCCATCTCTCATCTTTAACTACAGTTATTCCATCAGCAAAGGGGCCAGCAAGGCCTGCATTTGTTTCCTGGACAAATTCCAAAATGATGATGTTTACTGGAGCATAAAGAAATCCTCAGCTTCCTGCCATTATCACACTTTCTGTCCAACTTTGAAGGTGAGCTTACCCTTCTGTTAGTGAAGGTAGAATAACATTCTTTCACCATAATTGCTTTGATCATTTCCAGGTCAGTAACCATTAATATTGGGAGCCTTCCATCATAGATCCTGAGCAATGAAAGGAAAATTGATCAATTTGCAGTCACAGTGATTCAGGCAAATACCTACGATACCATTCAAAAGTTTAGAGTCGATACATTTTTTTTTATTGACACTTCTATTTAACAAGGATGCTTCTTTTGAGCTTTCTATTCAAAGAATCCTGACAAAAAGTATAAAAAAATATTCAGCAGAACAACTGTTTTCAACATTGACACATGATTGTCACATGCTATGCTGATTTGCTGCTCAAGAAACATTAGCAAATCAGCATATTAGAATGATTTCTGAAGAATCATGAGAAACTGAAGACTGGAGTAATGGCAGCTGAAAATTCAGCTTTACCATCACAGAAATAAAATTACATTTTAAAATATATTAACATAGAATGCAAGTATTTCAAATACAATATTTTACAATATAATACAATTTCACAATATTACTGCTTTTACTGTAAAATAATTGCAGCCTTGGTGAGCATAAAAGACTTAATAAAAAACAAAACAAAACATTACAAAACATTAAAAACATTTAAAAACCTCAGACTTTTAAATGACCTGTTGTGATCCACAGTGTTGGGGGTAACTCATTACAAGTAATGTGAGTTACGTAATCAGATTACTTTTTTCAAGTAACTAGTAAAGTAACGCATTACTTTTTTAATTTACAATCACGTTTATTGTTGTTTTTCCATTACCTTTACATTTATATTTTTCATGAATTGTTACAGTTTAGTTTAAATTGTGCTCAAAAAAGGTAATATTATGTACATTATACTTCACACCTTTCTCCTTTATTCAGATTGTTGCAACAACAAAAAACTGTCCATAGATTCCCCAACATTTAGCCAACAGGCAGGACAGTGATACAAAATACAGCAACGGTCTGTTCTGATAAAAGTGATCATTTGATTTAATGCCTTCCAGAATATTTTTTTTTTCCTGTCATGATTTAGTGTGCATGTTGACGTAATATCAAGAAGACATTGTAGTTGGAGGCATTTAAGTGAACAGCAAACATTTAATTTATCATAAAAAAATCTTTACTTCATGAATGCCCATGACATACACTTGTGCTAAAACAGTTGGTCGGATTGAAACAGAAAAAGGGAAAAAAAAAAAAAAAAAAAAAAACTTGATTGTTGATGTGTGAGAATGAGCAATGGCACAAATCACAACACATCTGGCACTGTCTCACTGTCTGATTACACAGAGGCAGGGAACCAGAGCTGTCTGGCTTCTTCTAACAGCCTCCGTAGGTTTTCTTGCTGGTGAGTCTATAGAGAATATACTGAAAACAACCGTGCTTCATTATCCAGGCCGCGTAAACACGAATCAAATCCATTTACATTTCATGACCTTTACGATCTTGAATGCAACATGTATATATAGCGACAATGACAGTGAGATGAGATAATTCAGACAAGAGTATACAGTAATTACAGCGTGTTTTTCATGTAGCTTTTTCGTTATGTTCTTTTTTATGTGGTAAGGGCAGGGATGTTCAGTGTGAATATATGCCGCTCTTTAGAGAGGGAATGTCTCGTTTTCTGTTGCGTCCTGCTTATTAAAACCACAGACATTTATGCATCTTTCACAACCAAGGCAGCAAAAAGGAGGGACATGTACATTAAAAGTAACTCTGATTAGTCTTCGGTATTGTATAAAAATCATTTTTTCTCCCCTTAATAATGATCACGATCACTAATCAAGTACATTCAGGATCCAGCAACTCGATGAGCAGTCACATGTGATGTCTCTTTTAGTGCTCGTGGTGATAGTACTGTGCGAAACCAGAGAATTTCCTCTGCAACTATGTTGGCCGAGCCGCAAAGAGGGGTCCGGGTCCTCTTGTATGTCACACGAACGAGGAGAACCCTGTGAGGGGAGTCCGTGAGCCTGGTGCGGGCTGGCCGGTGGGGGTGTAGACCCCGCCAACGCTGTGCTGCGTGACCACTGTCTGATAGTAGGACTCGGTGTCCCCGCTGGCACTTTCATCATAGGAACAGGCCAGCGTCTGCTTCAGCCCCTTCTGCTGCCGCTTCCACGAGTTGAAGTATGACGGGTCGGTCATGTAGTGATTCACGAACGAGTGTTTGATCGGCTCCTCTTCGCACTCGCTGTCTGTGGCCTGATCATGGAAATATGAGAGGGGAAATCACACATTTGGAAGATTTATGTTGCGATATGCTGTACTGTATATGTAAGAGATAATTTACAGCCAGCTGGTCAAAGTAAACCACAATAGAGTGAACATGTGTCACTCACCTCAGACTCGGTCATCTCTGCAGGCCTCTCTGTCAGCGCGGTGCTCTCTGTGGAAACCATGCCGTTGTAGTTGCTACAGATGTCTTCGTCGGAATACCGCAGTCCGGCTGGATTGGGTCGGGGAGGGGACCGGCTTGAAGAGAAAAGGAAGTGGTAAGGGCATATGTGACGCCAGCCAATCAAAAACTTTCTCTGTTGTGCATCTTTGTTTGCCTACCTCCCTTCATCCTAACCCTAAGAGATACTGTAGCAACTTATAAGTTTAGCAAAATTCTGTAGACAAAAATGATCTATTATCAATAGTGTTTCAATGTATAAAGCACAGCTCACACATAAGTCACTTTCAAACCAAGCAGCTTTCTGTTGGTCAGTGTGGCAAATTCATTGAACCTGTTGCGAAATCCGTGCGGGGAAATCTGTTGCACTCACATGAAATTCCCAATCTTGTGGATTCCTATTGAAATGACTGGATTTTGCCCACGGAAATTCACTCAACAACAGTAAATGTGACCTAAAGGGACAGTCCACCCAAAAATAAAAGTTCTGTGATCATTTACTCATCCTCATGCCTTTCCAAATCTGAATGACTTTCTTTCTTCTGTGGAACAAAAATGAAGTTTGAATGTTGGCAACCAAACAGTTGGTGACCACTGGGGCGGGGGGAGAGAATCATTATCTACTTTTATGCTCCACAGAAGAAAGTAAGTCATACAGGTTTAGAACGGGATGACAGTGAGTAAATGATGACAAAATTTTTATTTTTAAGTAGTCAATTTCGAAAATTTGTAGCTTATCTTATTTAATCAGTCCTAATGAAGCCCTGTGTCAAATTTAGCTGGTTTCAGATTCACCCAATCCCAATCAGACACATTTATTAGGGTGCATTTATATATGACACATTCTTGCATTCAAAAGCAGCTCAGCAGAATGTAACAAAATGGAGCTTATTTAGCTACCATGTTAAGTTTATAGAGTCCTAACAGCCATAGGCACATCCCACAATAATCAGATACGGCCAAATTGTCCATCACAACATTTGATATTCTTGATGCTCTACTGCACTCCATTAGGCAAGGCTCTGTATGTTGTTAGGATGAAAACTGCACTCATTAATGTCTTACAGTGCTTGTCAATGTCAAAATGTTGGAGATGTTTGGCCGATCAAATCAAAGAAGGCAGGCCTTACTGACCACAGAAGCAGAACAATGATTCATGATTGAGATGTTAGATGTGTCTTGTTTGATTTGTCTAGACTGAGATGTTAAACAAACATATTCATCTCAAAAAATGCTGTTTTGAATTGAAAATATTATAGCATATAATTTGTGTAATGTAAATCATAGTTAAATTTGATGAGACAATAAATTTGGAGCAGTTTTTAGTCAATTGGGCATAAGTTTATGAGTTAATGTATGCACATTGTGAATGAATTTAATGAATATGGTTACTGGAAGCCTTTCAGTAAAATAAAATTAAGTAAAATTCAGATACATTACAATAAATGCTAGCTCTGTACTATTTTATCTTTCTTTTTCTTTATTCCCTTAAATCATTTTTCAATAAAAAGGACCATTACATTTACAAGAACACTTTGCCAGGATTAACTGTTCTAGTATTTAATACTGTTCTCCATCATTTGATAAAATACAGTGGATAATTTAATGAAATCTACAATAAGCCTAAACGGAAAGGAGGGATGTTTAGTGACCTCATTTAAAGGCACAGCACTATTTCAACACATTTAGCGGCTGGTTAAACTCTTTTTTTATGAAATACCACAAAAATGGCATAACCGTATTGTGAATTTGCCACCACAGAGTTATCAGATGATGCATACATAAGCTGCGTTGTTACAGTACCTGGTGCCATTCTTCCTCAAGAAGACACCCTTGACATGAACGGGCCTGCTGTTGAGCTCTAGAGCCGTGAAGCCTCCATTGTCCAGAGTGACCATCTCCTCCACCGTGGACACAGCTTTACCTACAGCAGTCAGCATATCATCATCACAGCAAAAACATCACCTGGGTCAAACTTTAATCACTGTTTGCCGGACGGCGTGCTAGTCTGAGTGGGCGGACATGTTTATCTGGATGAATATGTATGCAAATTTTTCAGCACATAATGATTATGTGAGGGAGGATGGATGGATGTGTCATGAGAAAGCTGAAGAGGTTTAGTCCAGGTCACCTGTTCCACAGCTCTTGTACTTTCTGTTCTGTCCGTGCAAGACGAGACCAAAAACCACCAGCAACAGCAGAATCAGACAACACAACGCCAACACGACGAGAAACCACCACTCCTCATAAAACGGGGTGTCTAGTTGAGCTGTTTATGACAAAGAAAAATGAAATATAAAGATAAGACATGCAGAAATGTGTAGATTGTTGACATTTTACAAAACTTGCTGCCAAAAGTGCTGTGGGTGATTGCCAGGGTGTTGCTATGGGTGGTTTCTTTGTGGATTTAATACTGGAATACTCCATGTGACTTTTACTTAGGTGGTTTTCACACTGGGCTCGTTTGCTGTGGTTCGAACCCGAGTGCGATTGTTCCCAGCACCCCCCGCAGCGTTGGTCTGGTTTCACACTCTCTTGATTCCATCGAACCCCGGTGCATTTGCAGTCATCTTACGTCATCACAAACGTGCACAACGTATGATAGAAAACAGAACGTGGGTCAATATATTGTGTTTTTTAATTCATTTTGTGCTATTATGCGCAGCAGAGTAAACGACATATGGGTTTACTGTATGTGCGTCACATGTAGACTTGTGCCGGTATTCGGTAATGCGATATATCACGGTAATGAATATGCAAGATATTGTTATCGTGGGCACTTCTAAATACCGTGAAAAATGATATATTACAAATTATTCCGAATTTCTAATGCATTTTAAGAATACTTTTCCCATCAACTGGTCCAAATGCACAACACTGCTGTATGCTGCGTGAAAGAGCTGCGCACTCTGATGTAAATAAGCGCGGA